CAGAGTGGCCACAGGGCCAAGCAGGCTAGAGGAGAGCAGCAGGGACCAATGGGGCTAGAAAGCCTGTGCAGCCAATTGTCCCTGTTTTGTTTTCCAAAGGAGCAGCGTCTGCCTTTATCATCAAGCACTGTACAAAGCAACCCCCAACCCCGAGCTCCCACATTGCTCTACATTACCTCTCTTTGATCCTCCCCTGGTGGGGCTGTGGTCCTTTCCTGCTCGCTGCCTGCCAATGCCTTGGGAAGGCAGAGGGCTGACAGCACAGCTGTTACAGACCGAACAGAGGCCAGCCTCCCCTCTACCTTGGTTCACGCTCACTCTGCAAAGATACACGGGGGCGGGAGGGGGGGAGGATTACCTTTCACAGCAACCTTCTTCCAGCTTTAGGCAGAGGCCTCCAGACCCAGACACGGGGCCACTGCCCATGCTGCGCACTCCCTGATCCAAGTCACCTTGCTCATGTGACCATCCCACAGGCTGGCCCTGCCAGTTATGTAATTTTTTTCATTGTTCAACCTATGCCCTTCATTTTGTGCTTTAAGGGTTTGTTCCACCCTCCCCCCAATCACAAGCCTCCAGGCCTGCACTAGGGACAGCAAGTCCCCTCCCACCTGCTGCTATTGCTCCTCCTACCTTTCCACCTGAACAGTACAGGGAAAAAGAAACCTCCACGCACTGAATAAAACAAAACCCACCCAACCTGTTAGCAACAAGGAATTTGCTGTCCGCAAAGCTGGGACGGGTGGGGGCAGATTGCACAAGAGATCCCTGCGAAGGCTCTGGCACTGTGGGAACATGGCTGCTTCGTGGAGCACAGCCCATGATCCCCGACTCGCATGATTCTCCAGCAAACATCAAGCTGCCACCCCAGGGGAAGAAGAAAAAATACCCCAAGGAGCCCTGCTTGCCAATGCAGAAGCAGCAAATGGAGATACGGAGACAAGACTAAACCTGCATACAGCAGATGATGCGATCAGTAACATTCGCTCCAAGCCCAGGGCTGCGGCTAGAATGGCTGGCCATTCACACATACTGTTTTTCCCCCTTTCCTATCCCACAGGCTAAGCAGTCTGATCCTGAGTAGGGATGTAAAAATCATTCAAGATAGTTAACCGGTTAAGCGTTTAAAATTATATTATTAGCTGGTTAACGGGTGGCGGGCTGGGGGTAGATGGAAGCCAGCATGGGGGTCTTATGGGACTCTGAGCAGGAAAGGCAGGACTACTGTGGTGCGGCTGGAGTCCCGGGGCCGCTGTGGCGTGGCTAGAGCCAAGGTCCCTCCTGCTCCCAGGATTCAGGACTGTAGGCATAGCCAAGACTGGGGTCCTACCTGTTCCTGCACAGGATTGGGATCCAAGGCAGGGGCTGCCACTGTGGGTGCAGCCACGGCAGCTACTGCCCTGACCTGTGCAGGTTCCTGCTGGTGGCCCAAAGGTTAACCAATTACCTAATAAGCAGTTAATTGTTTAACCTTTTACATCTTTAATCCTGAGAGGCACTGAGAATCAACAGCTCCACCAAAGCCATCAAGACTTACCAGTGCTCTTAGCTCTGGGGTCCAACTGTTTATAGCTTGGCTTGTAGAACACAACAGCACAGGTTCAAAGGCAGAGCAGCCCAATCACATCACCCATCATGAAGGCCAGTGACAGAAATATTCTGAGAGCGCACTGAACTGAGCCAGTATGAAATCGTTATTAGTAGATATCCTTACACAGTGCCCAATCCATCACAGTTTTTTTACACTAATATCTAAAATGTCCATATTTCCCCTCGATGATTTAAAAGCATTTTACAATTTTTAAACTGACAGTTTGTTTGCTGACTTTGTCCCACTTAGGGATGTAATAGTGTAGTCGATTAACCAATTAATCGATAAGCAAAAATGTATAGGTTAATGCCATAGACTACACAAACTTTCCCCTTCCCTCACCTTGCCAGTAAATTTTTTAGCAGGCTGGCCAGCAGCCTGGCTCATTCCTGGCTTGTGCTTGGTCTGGGGCCAACCCACACTGTAGCTCTGAGTTTAAAGCGTATTAGCAGCTGGCCAGGCAGGCAGCCCAGGAAACTCAGACATGCCTGCCCTGGACAAGGGCTGCTGCCACCCCACACTGCTGCCCCTGTATCAGAAGCAACAGCACAGGGTGACAGGCAGCTGGTTCATGAGGGGAGCTGGTTTTTAAACTGGCTCCCTTCATGGACCATCTCCCACCTGGCACCCCACACGGCTGCCTCTGATACAGAGGCAGCAGCACGGAGTGGCAGGGGGCTCCTCAGAAATGGGGCTGCAGCTCACTGGCTGCTGCTCCTGCACCCAGGGACTATAGAATAGTTGAGTAATAGATAAGAATTCATGAGGTTAATCAACTATTCTATTAACCGATATTTAACACCCCTAAGCCCACTCCAAGGGACTCTAAAAGGTGCATACGGAAGTCAAGTGGTTATCTCAGTGTGTTCCCCAGAATTATTTATAGTTCAGCCTCTGCTTTGCTATCAGAAGTTACAGGGGCCAGAGTTCTCGGGAATCTATACTGATCACTCACCCAGCAGTGAAATGCAACCACTTCTGAGGTGAACCATGCTAGCTGATAAACAGCACATAGTAGATAATTATTAACATTCCACAGAGTATGTGCTATGCTGTAACAATGGCAAGTCTTGATGCTGGAAGCATGCAACACAACCTCTCAGACAGAAATGAGCTTAGATGGTAGTAGTGGTGGTATTTACAATCTCCACTAGACTTCACTCACAGCTATTTGACAGATCTTCATTTAAGGCCCAAATCTGCTCCCATTGAAGCCAATGGTAAAACTCACAAAGACCTCAGTGCAAGATTGTGCATTAAATGATCGTCCCTCTTTCATGCAAGATTTGACAAGCAAATATGCTGCTATATTATATAGTCTTTTTAGACTTCAGACTCAACTGAGCTCACATTTCTCAGTGTTATTGTTTCAGGCTCTCTGCAGCCTCAGACAGATACTGCTACATCAGTTATACAGAGGTCACACATTGAAGGTTATCTTTGCAATCATGAAAGTTGACAGAAATTAACTACATCAGGCGGGTGAGAATATCTTTTACTGGACCAATTTCTGTTGGTGAAAGAGCCAAGCTTTTGAGTTTACACTCAGCAATTCTTCAAGTCTGTGTGAGCTTGAAGCTTGTCTCTTTCACCAACAGAAGTTGGTTCAATAAAAGATACTGACTCACCCATCTTGTGTTTCTGATCCTGGGACCAACAAGGCTACTACACTGCAAATGGCTATTACGGATGGCCTTTTCAAAAACATCCAGGTTTGATGTCTGCATTGCAGTCCTTTGTAAAATTTCCACTGACTTCAGTGAGGAATAGTTGCACCAATACTAAAAAACTCTCTAAAATCCTGCCCTTTTAAATCTTTAAAAAAAAGAATTGCTTGGATTTTGAAGCCCAAGATGGAAGCCGCCACAGGGAAATAGGCTATCTTGCCAAGCTACAGCAAACAGGTTCAGCTGACCCTGCTTTCACTGTGTACGTAATAATAAATGTTAGCCTACGTGGTGATTTTGCATTCCAATGGCCTGTCAGGCTTTAGACATAGATGTGTGTCTCTTCTATGGTATTTTAGCTTCTAAGACAGAAGTTTCTACTCCACTGCACTGTGCTCCTTGGCTTGCAAAACGTTTCTCTCACACACATCTGTATTTGCTAATCTGTTATTCAACACTCTGAACTGAATATTGAGAAAATAACCTATTCCCTGGGTTCCAACTCCCTAGCCATGCAGCAACAAACCATTTATGGTTAAGCAATAAGGTCACTCGGGATATTTTTTCCATCCCACTTGACTATAATGTGTGTCACAGACATTACAACTCTACTGGGAAGCAGGGCCGGATTAAGGGAGGGGCTAGCCAGGCAGCTGCCCAGGGTGCCAACCTAAAGGGGGTGCCTGATTGAAGTGATAAGGGGCACCGTGCGCCCGGGGGTGGGGCCGCGCATACGCCACGCAACCAGGCGCTTGGCTGCCCTTACCACTTTAATCAAGCGCCCCCCCCATACATTTAAGGTGCACAGCGCACCAGGGGGCAGGGCCGCACATGCGCCGCACACCCACTGCCCAGAGCACAAGTAGGGCTCGGTCCGGCACTGCTGGGAAGCAAGCAATACAAACTGGGGTTAGGTAGGTCCATAAGTCATTTAATATATAGGGATATGGAATGACACTAATGGTGTAAACCCATTTTTCTTAAAAAAAAAAAAAAAAAAAGACTGATATATAGGAAAACAGCAAGCTAGTCCAGCCATGTAAGCACTGTCCTCTAGGAGCAAGTCTTAGCCTGCCACTGGTGGGAATGCCAACATAAACCAGACACTAATGGTGCTACCTCTGTGTCATTGAGCCCTGATCTGAAGTTCATAGGTTTTGTGGCATCTGTGGAAACCAGGGCCTAAGTGTTAAGATGGGTACTTTTAAAACAGAGGCACATTGAATGATCAAGGTGTAGGCAAGGAGCGGAAGAATGTGGTAGGTTTTGTCATAGTGGGGAGAAGAGGTGGTCTGTCAGTTTGAACATTTGATAGGCTCTGGAAAGCGGCATGATGAGGAAGTGAGGAAAGTGGAGAGCAGCTGGTAGGTTAAGATTCCATTCCTGGTTAAGATTATGCAGGGGTGAAAGGAACTTAAATTTCTTACTGGTACTATCCTATTGCAACCTGGATTCCTGCCAGCTCTTAAATTGCTTCCTGATGACTCTTGCCACACAGCTCAGCCAGTTCTTGCCGAAGCCGCGTACTAGGACGCACCCGCTTACTTTCACCTCTGAGATTATGTCCTAGTGAATACAGTGTTGGCAAATGCTGCCAAGTTGACAGCTCAGGAGACATCTTCTTTGGCTAAGGCAGCAAACTTCCCACACATTGGGCCTCAACCCTCTCATATAAGGTCCAGTTCCACAGTGGGAGGATAGCTGAGTGTCCACCATGCACTCTGCTGAAGGAGCCAATTAAGGCCAATCAGGCTGGTAGCTTTAATGCTGTGGACCCTTCCCCAATAGGTTCTGTCCTGAGTGAAATTTCTTCTGTCCCATCTTTTATTCTGGAACACTGATATGTATGTAGACAGCCTGTGATCTCCAAAAGAACTCCTCAGCATGTCCATGTGGCTAGATCCTGCATCACTGTACAAAACATGATGGGATATGGTTAAAGCAGGTGAATTATGCACCTGGCAAAAATAATCAAAAAGAAAAGGATTAAAGATGACACTGCAGTTTGTATGCCTTTACCAGCCTTTTCAAAGGCAACTTTGATTGGCTTTTTGCAGAGCTCTGAAGCTCAGGGTCAGACTTGTTACACCTACTGTTCTTTTCTGTTTGCAACCTACATTGTGTCTTCTTTCAGAGAAGCTGGGATGACATGTCAGCTTTTCTCTCAAACCACAAAACAGGATGTCCCTTCCTTAAATCTTTGGATCTCAGGGGAGAGAACCTCTGAAGAAACTGAAGGTGCTTCAAATAAATTGTAAAATGAGGGGGCAAATTCTGTGGTGTAGCTCCCTGACTTCACAGAAGTTACATCAACAGAGCATGTAGCCCTACATCTCACTTTTTACACAATGTCTTTCATCTCAAAGTATTTTACAAACTTTGTGAGCCCAATCCTCTCAATGAAGTCAGTGGGAATTGAGTGCACTCAGCAGCTGCCCTATTTATACATCCTTCTATTCACTATTGAAATGCAGCCTTTGGTGGGGTTAAAAACAGCGGGTGTTTAACAGCATTCAGCAGCCTTACACAACAATTAAGGGCAGAAAGTAAGGGAAATACAGTGGCAAATGTAACTAAGGGGGGAATTTAAGAAGGTATATTGTAACTATTCCAATTTAAACGTTGATAACACACTAGAGTAACATGCCTGCTCTTGCAAAAAAGCACCCTTGGATATTTTTTAATGACCAGTGATGAGGCATTTAGCTTTACATCTCATTCAAAGACTTTAACCCTGCACACTTTTTCCTGCTTCAGTGGCAGTATGAAAGAGCAGTGTGTATTAATTCAGTGTTTCTCAACCAGCGGTACGAGTACCCTTAGTGGTACTTAAGAGAAGTCTGAGGAGTACATCAACACAATTGAAATTTGGAGAAAACAGAAGTTTTGTTTTAAGTTTTACAGCGCTTTATTATTTTTTACACTTTTTACATCCAAAAATTTCGTTGCCTGGCTATGGTTAAGTTGTTAAAACAAATGAGTTGCAATGGTAGAAAAAAAATTGTGTGTCTGAAAACTGTAGGTACTATGGATATTCATATATATATATATATTTAAAGGGGTACTTTATAAAAAAAAGGTTGAGAAACACTGTATTAATTCATGCCCAGTGAAATCATGATCAATGAATGCATTTACTGTCAGTGTCTGTTTGGTAATGCAGATAAAGGTATGTGGTAGATTATTAAAAACAGAACAATGCTGAAAATCTTCCCTTTATTTCTGCAGATTGTTTATTTCTATGTTTTCTCTCTGTATAGACTGGACCTCCTTGGTCCGGCACCCTCAGGACCTTACTGGTCCTGAACTCAGGGGCTGTGTCTAGACTGGCCAGTTTTTCCGCAAAATCAGCTGCTTTTGCGGAAAAACTTGCCAGCTGTCTACACTGGCCGCTTGAATTTCCGCAAGAACACTGACGATCTCATGTAAGATTGTCAGTGTTCTTGTGGAAATATTATGCTGCTCCTGTTCGGGCAAAAGCCCTCTTTCGCAAATCATTTGCGTAAGAGGGCCAGTGTAGACAGCACAGTACTGTTTTGCGCACAAGTGCATCTAGATTGGCACGGACGCTTTTCCACAAAAAGTGCTTTTGCGGAAAAGCGTCCGTGCCAATCTAGACGCTCTTTTCCGTAAGTGCTTTTAACGGAAAACTTTTCCGTAAAAAGCATTTGCGGAAAATCATGCCGGTCTAGACGTAGCCAGGGAGTTTGCTAACCTTGGAAAGGTCAGTACTGGCCCCTCTGCTGCCTGCTTCCAGGCTCCACTACCAACCTCTAGCTCCCAGCTTTGGGGATCTGCTCCCAGCTGCTGGGCTCTGATCCCAATCTCGGGCTCTGCTCCCAGCTGCTGGTCCTGGACTCCACTTCCAGCAGCCTCCCAGCTCTCTGATCCAGCAAGACCATGTGATCCAGCAAGACCAAGCGGAGTGGACCGGGCCACCACTTCCCGCTGCTCCGTTTGGCTGCAAAGAGCGAAACGGAGCTGATGGGAGCCGTGAGGCTCCATGGCCATAGCACCAGTAAATAAACAAACTGGGGCGGCCAATTAATATGTTTCTCAAAGTGCTTTCGCAGAGCACTTTTCAGAAACACTGCTCTAGAACATCTGGGGATCCCAGCATCATGAACGCTAGAGAGCTCTGCCTTCCACCTCCTCTGTATCTGTACCATGCTGCATTCAAGTCATGTCCCCTGCATGACAAAACCTCTCTCTCCTTGACATGACCACTAGACAGGGGGCTACGAGTGGCTAGCATTGTCCTTATGTCAGCCTTTATAGTTGTCAAGTTTTGTGCAGCTCTGCTGCTTGAGGCAGGGTGTATTGATATTGTCATATCAAACTGGTTGTAAACATGCTAATAATTAACTCATGACATTTTAAAAAATGTCACCTGTGGAAACTGCATAATGCTACTTATAATGCAAATTGCCACAGTATCCAAGCTGTGCATTTTTTTTTTTTTGGTTTTGCATTAGGAAAAAATTATTAAAAAGATTTCACAAAAATCTAAGTTTCCTATGTCTCTGGAAATCAGTATTTCTGTTCTTAAAAAGACAAATGAAGAATGAAACACAGAGGAAATTCAAGAGAGTAAAGTATAGGGAATTCAATGGCAGGAATGGGCAAAGAGTACACACTTTGCTTTCCAAAGGCTAGAAGATTATTAAGGAAGTGCTCTTTGTGCCTCTAGAGCTCCCTAACAAATGTTGTATTTAACAACACACAGCATTTAAAAAATGGTGGGTGGCATCCGCATGACTGAATGTGCACTTTGGCTATAGGCATGGATGCATTCACAAAGGTCCTCACATCTGCCTAGTCACAAAGTTAAACCCATTTTCTAAGCAACCTGACCATACTATACTATCCTACCCACCTGCAAAAAGTTGTATTTTGATTCTGCAATTTCCTTACTAATCAATCCTCCACCTGGTATTTTCATTTCCAATCTTTCATTTTATAGCAACTTACATTGAAATTCAATGTAAAATCAGTTTCCACACAAAATGTCAGCATTAAGCATGTAATACCAAGCTCGTCATACCCTGACATTCTAGTTTCAATGGGTGATTTTTTTCCAAAATTTTTGGTATTGTATCTTTTCCCCTTTAACAAAAAGAAATAATGAAACTATTTTACATCTTTCACTTTTTTCTAAGCATAATATGAGAGATGAATGTCAGTCCCTCCCATCACCCTGTATAGCCTGATCATTTTCTACTATAGAACCACATGCTCATCAGCTTTCTTTTTAAAAAACTGGTGCCAGGATATGAGCGCTCACTAGCTTCCATGATTAGAAATAAGATTAAATCAAAAAAATGGATGTCAAATCTCTAGATCTCTCCAAGTTTGAGGGTTTTCTGATCCAGCAGTTTAGTGTCTGTGTGTCTTTCTGTCTCTCTCGCACATACACATACACATACACACTCTACACAAAAAGAAAGGAGCCAGATATGATGTTTGGATTCAGATCCACATTTTCCCAATATCTGGACCATTTGAATGTTGATTTTTGGATCAGGCTCATCTCTAATTTCTATGTGTACTTTTAATCTGGGGTGTCCAAACTAGGGATGTTAAATATCAGTTAATTGAATAGTTGAGTAACCTCATGAATTCTTATCGGTTAGTGGACTATTCTATAGTCCCCGAGGGTGAGGCCAGCAGCCAGTGAGCTCCAGCCTCACTCCCGAGGAGCCCTCTGCCACACCACACTGCTGCCTCCGTATCAAGGGGCAGCAGCGTGGGGTGCCAGGTGAGAAATGGTCCACGAGGAGAGCCTGTTTAAAAACCAGCTCCCTTCATGGACTAGCTGCCTTTCGCCCTGTGCAGCTGCCTGTAATAAAGTCAGTCAATGGTGCGATCACCTGTTATATACCACTGTAAATCGCCATACTCACTCTCAGGGAGCATGGATCACGTGGGTGACTGAATACGAATATACTAGCACTGCATCGGACAAAGTCGAAGCTTCAGCTATCAAACCAGTTGCTTGTATGGGAGTGCACAGGCAGTGCTCTCGTGAATACTTTACTTCAGTATAGTTGCGTGATTTCTTGTATTTAAAAATGTAACCGTGACAAATATAAATTGACTATGATAGATTAATCTACATATCTTTCCAGTATGAAACCAAATATAAAAAGAATTTGCCAAGAAAAGAAGAAAAACCACTCTTTGCATTGAAAACTGCCAATATAATACATATTCGTTTTTGAGCTTTATTTTTTGTACACATTAAATGTGATTTTTGTTTTTAAATATGTGTAATTAAACTAAATGCTGATCTCATGACCTTGTTTAGCATTTGTTTATTATTACCCTTACTTATTTGTGGTATACTTTTTTTCAGCTCCATATATAAGACTTATATTAGGGGTTCTGCAAAATTCTTTTGAGTTTAAAAGGGTTCCATGGCCAAATAAAATTGGGAAACATTGGACTACACTATTACATCCCTAATCCAAACATTGTCAGGAACACCAGAGCTGTTCCAAACCACAGAGCCATTGATTGTGCCACCATCAACTTAAATACATAAATATATCCTGAGAAAAGCCCAGTTTCTAGCATGTTGTGCCTCACCTCTACAGCTGCTAGTGGAGAATAGCTTGTTGGGTCTGGTATCATAAACTTGCCACTGGTCACGATATAACTGGGATCTATCCCAATATAAACTGGGCATCTCTGCAAGGTGACTGCCAGGTTGAGGTGCCTGCATAATGCCATCAATGGAGGATGGTCTTGTGCAAAGTGAAGGTTTCCTTCCTAGCATAAGGATCAAATGGGTAGGGCAGCCTCGTGTGGTAAAGAACACTGGGGAGGGGCAGAGAGGCAGCAGCTAGTAACTCGATGGGTGATAGAGAATCAAAGGAGCAGCGGAGAACCCCTTGGATGTGCATGATATTGGCAGAGGAGCAGACAGACAGAGATCCTATGGAGCAGGCAGCAAGGAAAACAGTGGGGAGGAGTAAGCAGGGAATCCTAAACATTATGGGCCCAGCAGAGTCCAGGGGGCTGCCTGGGGCAGATAGTACTGAGGCTGAAGAAGCTGGGGTGGCTACAAGAGGGGCTGTGGTAACCAGGGGGTCATTGGAGACTGGGAAGGGGGGGCTGAGCTGGCTGGGGGTGACAGGTGAGAAGCTGGGGGGGCTGCAGGTGGCACTGAGGATGTGGAGGGGTAG